GGGAGCCCTGTCCCGACTTGTATATATTATGGTTATGTTTACTTAGAGGTTTTGTAGACAGTATCTTGTATATAGTTTTGGGTATGATATGTCTACGGCCTTGTTGACCCCTATGTATATAAACCTTTTTCTAAATTAGTTATGCGAGTTAAGTCTTAATATTGTTACTTATATATATATGGATGTCACCCGTAATGGCCTGTGATAGATTTGATAATAAATAAGGATAACGTACGTGGTGCTTGGTTGGGTAGAATTTGATGTTATAATGGGTATGGATTGGCTGGCTTTTTGTTATGGTGACATTGATTTAAGAACAAAGGTGGTTCGATTCTAATTCCCAGGAAAGCCTGTTTTTGGAGTAGAAAGGTAATACGGCACCGCCGAGAGGTAAAGAGGATGATCAAAAAAAGTTATGATTATCACTTAGTTCGGGTAAAGACTGTGAAAGTAGAGTCACCAACCATTCAATCTATCCCTATGGTAAATGAATTTCCCGATGTTTGTTTTTCGATAAGCTTCCATGCCTTCCGCCAGAGCGAGAAATTAAGTTTGCTATTAACCTACTACCATCTACTCAACCAATATCTATTTGTCCCTACCGAATGGCACCCGCAAAGTTAAAAGCGTTGAAGGAACAACATGGGGAGCGCCTGTGTTATTTGGGAGGAAGAAAGATGGTTCCTTGTGGATGCGTATTGATTATAGACAGTTGAATGAGCTGACAATCAAGAATAAGTACCCCCTCCTGAGGATTGATGAATTATTTGGTCAGTGTTAAGGTGCCAAGTATTTCTCGAAGGTAGACGTGAGGTCCGGGTACCCTCAGGTAAGGGTTAAGGAGAAAGATATCCCGAAGATAGCATTTAAGACCAGATATAGGCACTTTGAGTTTCGTGTTATGTCATTTGGTTTGACTAGTGCCCCAACAGTATTTATTGACGTGATGAACCGAGTGTTCAGACCCTTTTTAGATCTATTCGTGATTGCATTATTTGATGATATATTGGTGTAATCGCATTCAGAGACTGAGCACACAGGTCAATTGCATATTGTGCTCAAAGTTTTACAAAAAAAAAAAGAAGAGGAAGTTGTATGCAAAATTCTCTAAATGTGAATTCTGGTTGAATTCTGTAGATCCCCTTGGGCATATTATTTCAGGCGAAGGTATTCGGGTTAATACACAAAAGATTGAGGCAGTAAAGACTTGACCTAGACCCACGACACCGACGGAGGTTCGTAGCTTTCTCCGTTTTGCAGGTTATTACAGAAAACTTGTAAAGGAATTTTCTTCTCTTTTAGAACCTTTGACAAAAGTGCTCGAGTGGTATGTGATGTCTTTCTTGATATTCCAGAATAACATAAGGAAATATATGGTGCAAGCAAATTGAAGGAAGATTGAGAATAAGTATAAATAGATATATGTAGGTCGCAAGCTAAAGTATGGTAGAGCGACAAGGTTTTAGGAAGACAGGAGAAATGATAAGAAAAGATGAGTGAGAAGGTGACGAGAATGGATTAGTCCTTGGGGTTAAGCTCATAAGAGAACTGATGGTTTCTCTAAGTTATAGAAGGCTAAGTATAGCCTAAATAAACTCAAAGGAGTGTAAGACCAGTAGCATTTAGAAGAGATGGAATTCTGCCCTGGTAGTGGAATAAGGACGTAATCATGATAGATGAAGGATGAAGTTTGGGCCTTCGAAAGGGGGACTTTCATGAATTGTGATAAAAAAATTAGAATACCCATGTAAGTTAACTCAGAGAAGAGCTAAGTTTCAGTGGATTGATGCTTGCAAGGAGAGTTTCCAGGAGCTTAAGAACAGATTGACTTCAGTGCCAGTTCTAGCACTTCCAGAGGATCCAGATGGTTATGCCATGTGTTGTGATGCCTCAGGTGTCGGGTTAGGATGTGTCCTGGCGCAACATGGGAAAGTAATTGCGTATGCTTCAAGGCAATTAAGGAAGCACGAGCGGAATTATCCGACCCACGACCTCGAGTCATCTGCGGTTGTCCATGCACTTAAGATACGTCAGCATTATTTATATGGTGTTCATGTTGATGTATTCACAGATCATAAAAGCATGCAATATATCTTCAAGCAAAAAGAGTTGAATTTGCGACAGAGGCGATGGATTGAGTTATTGAAAGATTACGATGTTAACATTCTCTACCATCCAGGGAAAGCTAATGTTGTAGCAGATGCCTTAAGTCACCAATCTATGGGTAGCCTAGCACATGTAGAGGCCGAGAGAAGACAATTAACTAGAGAGATTCATAAATTGACTTGTCTGGGAATTCGGTTAGTAGTCTCTGGCGATGGTGGAGTTGTACTCCAAAATATTGCAAAATCATCTCATAGCTGAAGTAAAAGAGAGGTAGTACGAGGACCTAGAGTTGGTCGAGTTGAGAGAGCGAGTCCCGTAGCAGAAGAAGCCGTTGTTAGAACTCAAGGGAGATGGGGTTCTCAGATACAGGGGTTGTTAGTGAGTTCCAGATATAGCAGGGCTACAAGACAGGATTATGTCAGAGGCACATTATTCGTGGTACTCCATTCACCCCTGGTCGAAGAAGATGTATCATGACATTAAGGATGCGTATTGGTGGAACGATATGAAGAAGAACATTGCAAAGTATGTCGCTCAGTGTCCTAGTTTCCAGCAGGTGAAGATAGAGCACCAGAAGCCCGGAGGGTTAATGCAGACTATAGAGATCCCGACATGGAAATGGGAGGCGATAAACATGGACTTTATCACGTGTTTACCTCGTTCTCATTGTAAGTTCGATTCCATATGGGTGATAGTCGATAGGCTCACAAAATCAGCTCATTTCCTACTGGTCAGATCTATATATACAATAAAAGATTATGCAAAGTTATATATTAAAGAGATAGTGCGACTACATAGAGTACCAATATCTATTATATCTGACCGTGGGGCCCAGTTTACAGCACATTTTTTGAGGTCATTTCAGAGAGGTCTAGGAACTCAGGTGAATCTCAGCACAACTGTTCATCCACAAACTGATGGACAAGTTAAGCGCACAATTCAGACGCTCGAGGATATGTTACAAGCATGTGCATTGGATTTTAAAAGAAGTTGTGATGAATATCTACCTCTTATCGAGTTTGCATATAATAACAATTACCACTCCAGTCTCCAGATGGCTCCGTACGAGGCTTTGTATGGGCATAAGTGCAGATCTCCTATAGGGTGGTTTGATGTTGGAGAATCTGGATTATATGGGCCAGGCCTGGTTTAACAGGCCATAGAAAAAGTAAAACTTATCCGGGAGCGACTGTTGACAGCAGGCATGTGTGGCATGTATAGTATGTTTTCTGGCTGCGTACAAGTTGGTTTTAGTCTAGTGTACAGAGAAGACTCTGGCAAAATATTATCCAAGGTACCTAAGAGTAACATTCGAGGACGAATGTTTCTAAGGGGGGAAGTATGTTACATCCCGCGTTTCTCGTACGTTAAAGTTTCATCTTCAGTTAATTGACATAGACTTGGGGATGAGATTATCTTGAGGTTAACGTATTTATGCTATTTATAACAAGCGATAAGTAAGTTCCATGAAGGATAAATGGTACACAAATTAAAGAAAATAAGTTTCGTTGAAGGTTGTTGATTTGGGATAAAATATGGTCCGTGCTATAATACCCGATATTTATGGACTAGTACCATACAAGGTACCATATGACCGTGATAGTACGATGTATAAAGTATATTAAAAATGAGTAGAATTTTAAGTAATTTGAGATAATTTTTAATTATGCGGGTAATTGATTAATTACCGGGTAACGAGACATTACCTAATTAATTGATTGGTTATGGGATAAGATTAAAACCCCTCCCCACCGCCACATGGTAGCAAGACACTAACCAAACAAATGACTCTTGGTCAATTGTGGTTAGGTGAAAACATAATATAGTGATTTTAACACACTTCATCCTAGGATTTTGAATACAAAACCACATGTCATTCTCAAACACTAACATTTTCAATACTAATCAAATGTGGAGCTTTGGCAAAGTAGTAACGTTTCCAACATTTCAATACCAATCAGATATGAAGCTTTGGCAAAGATAGTAACAAAGCACTTCATCTCTAATATCTTCAAATACCAAAAGCCTTACAATTAGGCATTAGAAATCCCTCAAAGTCTTTCAACAAAAATTTCTTAGTAACAAAATACTTCATTTTCTCATGTCTTAAATAGAAAGACACTACCAGACTTAGAATCTTCCTACAAGGTTTCAACAAAATTCTTGCAACCAAATAATTTCTTACGAGAATTATTAAGTCAGCATTAGCAATGAAAGTTTTTGCGGTTCTAAAGGAGTACGGTATAATCCTTCTCAAGAATATCACACGAAGTTTTCCCTACTCCAGGTATGTTAAGGCTATTCTTTCTTTCTTTTGGCATGGTCCAAATGATACAGATAAAACGAGCAAAATGCAGAACTTTCATAAATGACTCTATTCATAGAAATACTAAAGATGTCTATATTCTTGATTCCCCATGTGAATTATTATTATATCTTTTGTTCATGGGTCTCAGAAAAATACGTATTTGATAAAGTTTATCCGAAAGGCATACTGATTTTTATGGTATTCCAAGAAAATCTTATTAATGTATTTCTTATGCATTTCATGCATTTATACTTATACATTGACCCATGACTAGATGGCCTAATATACGTGTATATATGTATATTATATTTAATTGGGATATGAAAAAAAGGTTACGGCATTATATACGCACCACCACATGATCAGTTGGTATATGTTGATGATGTTGCCCACAGTATATGTATATATGATCATGCTCGCAGGTGCAGGTAGGCAAGCTGACGGTCCCCCTTCTTAAGATCCTTGATCAGTGAGAGTTGGCATGCTCCACTCGATCCGGAGCTGCTTTTGATTTTGGTACGATATGCGTGTATACATATATGGGTATGATGTGGCTTAGTCCCGTCTTTGTACAGTTGTATTTCTATTAGAGGTCTGTAGACAGTTGTGTATAGTTGGGTGGTATGTGGCCTTGTCGGCTTCCAATTTTAGATATGTAGTTGTCTATAGCAGCCTTGTCGGCTCGCCTTACGTATTCCGCACGTATATGTATATATGTCTTTTGGGTCGTGACAGTATCACTATTGGTGTATGGGGATGTCGAATTACTATCAATTGCAATATGTGGCCTAAAAATGTTGGGAGATGAAGACGGAGTGGATTCAGATGAAGGCATGGAAGAGTGGCTAGCAGGCTGACTAAATAATGAAAGCATGCTAGAGGAAGATGGTGAGTGAATGATTGGGGAAAATGATGATCGAATGCCAGAGAAAGATAATGAAGGAATGACCGGAGAAGATGATAATGGAGGGACAAGGTAAGATGATGAGGGTATGCCATGTGAAAATGGAGTGGATTTAGATGAAGGCATGGAAGAGTACCTAGCAGGCTGACTAAATGATGAGGGCATACCAGAGGAAGATAATGAATGAATGATTGGGGAAAATGATGATTGAATGCGAGAGGAAGATAATGAAGTAATGACCGGAGAAGATGATGATGACATGACTGGGTAAGATGATAATAAGGGTACGCCAGGCCTAAGTCTAGATATGTGCTTGGAAGATGTAGGATTAAAGAAGGGGGTAGGTGAGGGAGCGTTATACCCTAGGTGAGGTATAAAGTATAAGAGAGGTGGAAATGATAACGGTCATGTAGGTGGAGGCACATGCAAACTAGAAGGTGCGTGTGGGGGAGAGGTAGTGATACCTAAGTTACCAGAATTTTTTGTTTTCTTCCTTTTTTTTACCCTTCTCTAGTGCAGTACCCTCTGGACGATCTTTACCTCGAGGAGCCATCTAAACAATATAAGTACAAGAAAAGATATGTTAATATGTTTAGCAAAAAAGAACAAACATGTCAATCCTAATCGCTTAGTTCATCTTCATCAAAAATTTCATCCTCCTCGCTTGTTTCATTTTCATAATATTCTTCCTCCTCAGTTAGTTCATTTTCATCAGCGGAATCTTCCTCTTCATTAGCCATAGATGTTCCAACCTCATGTTGAACTGAAGGATCAACTTCTTTGTACATGCCTTCAATATGCAGTTCATCTGCTAATTCATCATCCACAATTAGTTGAATACTTGATATATCATTCTGGTATGCTATATCTAGTGCATCCTCAACTTCTATTCTACCAACTGACTTAGTTTTTATAACCACCCACCATTCAGTCTTATTTTTACATGACGACAGATAAGGAGCGTAATACACTTGCTTCACATTTTGTGCAATTATAAATGGATCATATCTTACATACTTCATCGTGTGATTAACTTCAACTATTTTATAGTGTTGGTGTACCTTTGTACCTTTATTTGGTATTGGATCAAACCACTTGCATCGAAAAAGCACCAGCCTTTTCTTCAGCCAACCAACATACTCTATTTCTAAAATCTCCCAAAGTACACCATAATAATCAATATCTCCAACTTGGCTACCATCACCACCTTTCACCCAGACTCCGCTATTAATATTTTTTTTATTCTTAGACCATTCTTCCGTGTGAAACTTGTACCCATTGACAAAGTACTTGAACATAGTTTTAACTTGAGGTATAGGTCCCCAAGCTATATCACGTAAAAATGGATCACCTATATCATTGTCTGGATTATGAACCTATATAGAGTTGAAAAAAATTGAGAAGTTAGAAAATACAACTTATGCAATAATGAGAATCTGGTAATATATTAGTTAACACTTACATAATCTCTAAACCACTCTGAAAACCTTGGATAAACAACATCTTGGCCAAACACACTCACAAAATAACTGTCCGATATATTTATAAAGTTTATTAGTTAAAATATGGATAGATCATGCAAGTAGGTCAATAATATAATTTCAAACCTACTTGTAAAATTGTTGAACTTTGGGGCAATCGAGCAATACATGTGTTGCAGCCGACTTTTTCTCCATCCCAGTCCAATTTCTTTTTTGATACTTCTTAGAACTTCTACCGGGTTGATTGAATATGGATACAGGCGGTGCCAAAGGATCATTATCACCTTCATCATCATGCCGATTTGGCCTATTTCTCAAACATGGCACGTGATGCTCAAAATAATATGAACAAAAATGAGAAGTTTCTTTAACTAGATATGCTTTACATATTGATCCCTCAATCTTGAATTTTTATTTCACCATCCGTTTATATTTGTCAATAGTCCTACATAGAATAATTTTAAATAAGAAGAAGTGTAATCAAAACACATAAAGGGAAAATAATTAATGGTTATTATCTCTCAAATTAATACATCCATCTACATTGAACATGCCCTCCAAGTTGTGCCTCTCTTACAAGATGAATTGAGAGATGTTCCATTACATTGAAAAAACCACATGGAAATTTTTTTGCCAGTTTGTTTATGATTAAATGGATGTTACTTTCCATCAAAACTAGATTTTCCTCCCTCAATGTATTAGAACATAGGTCTTTGAAAAATAAGCTTATTTCTGTGATGGGTTTCCATATTCTCTCAGGCAATGCGCTAAATGCAATAGGAAGTAATGATTCCATGAAAATATGACAATTATGGCTTTTCATATACATCAGCTTTCCTTCTTTCATGTCAACATAATTGAATAAGTTTGAAGCATACCCATCGGGCATTCTCAAATTTCGAACCCAATCACAGATCTTTCGTTTGTCATCCATTTTGAATGAATAACTGGCCTTAGGCTTCACCATCCTATTATTTTCTTGCGGTAGTTCTAATTTTCTTCGCCTACAGTATTCATGTAAATCCATCCTGGCCTTCAAGTTATCTTTTGTCCCGTTCTTATTATCCATTACAGTATGAAATAGGTTATTGGTGGCTCATCATAATCAGTTCAATTCATTATAAATGCACTAGTACTTCTCCTGAACTCATGATCCATTGGCAAAAATCGATGGTGACAGTCAAACCATGTGTTTTTACCTCCATGTTTCAAAGTGAATGCTTTTGTGTCTTCCATACAGCAAGGACAAGCTAAATTTCCGACAGTCGGCCATCCAGATAACATTCCATAAGCAGGAAAGTCATTAATATAGCGCACAATTTAAAGTTTTGTTTAGTTGATACGTCGAATGTTCCAACACCTTCATGCCACAAAGCTCATCAATCAAAGGCTGCAAATATACATCAATCAAACTTTTAGGATTACTTGGACCCGGAACTATGCCAGTTAGAAATAAATATGGACTTGTCATACACATCTCTGGTGGAAGATTATACAGTATAACAAAAATAGGCCAACACGAATATGGTGCAGCAGAGACAGAAAAAGGAGTGAATCCATTTGCACACAAACCCAACCTAACATTTTCTTGGTTCATTAGCGAAGTCAGGATACATCCTATCAAAATGCTTCCATGCTTCTCCATCTGAAGGATGACACAAAACATCGGGCGCCCTTCTATTTTTATAATGCCATCTCATATGAGCAGCGGAACTCATTGATATATACAACCTCTTTGATCTAGGTATAATAGGTAAGTAATGCATCCTCTTAATTGGAACTTTCTTCACTTTGGCATTTGTGACTTCCTTAAAACGAGACAATCCACAAAATTTGCACGCTTCTAGAGCCGCATAATCTTTATAATATCACATACAACCTTTTTTACAACAATCAATTTTTGTTGAGGAAAGTCCTACTTGGAAACTAACTTCTTTGCCTTTTAGTAATCACCGGGTAAGTTAATTTTCGGACTAACTTCACGCATAAGCCCAATTATAGCATTCATGGCAGCTTGAGAAATATTCCAATCCGATTTGATAGTTAGTAATCTAACTGCAACAGACAACTCCGAGTGTATTGAGACTTCATAGAGTGGGAGAATAGCCACCTCTAATAATTCATAAAAGTGATTTGCCTCATCATTGGGAGACTCATCAACATTTTGTTGGGATTGAACTCCTGGGTGTATCCCAAAAGCATTCGACACCATTTCATGCATTTGAGAATTTTCATAATTATTCTCAAAGAATGTACTACTCTCACAACCAGTAAGATTCTTTAAGTTAACATCAACTAAATTACTATAGTTCTCTCCATGAACCGTCCACACATAGAAATTTTCTCTAAACCCCTTTCTATAAAGATGAACTTTAACATCCTCAGGTATCAACAACTTTATACAATTGCACTTAGCACAAGTACACCTAATTGTTCCTTCATTACGGAATTCAAGAACTATTTTTGCATAAGTAATAAATCCTTTAACACCTTCTACAAATTCTTCCTTCAATCCCCCATTATTAGGATGATTTCTATCGTACATCCATCTACGATCTTGTTCCATCTATTACACAATAACAAGAAAAAATAATTAAATAAAGAAATAAATAATTTATTTTATTCAAGTTAGCTTACAATTAAACTTGAATATACATCTTAGATAACTCACATTTCTTTTTTCTTTTTATTAAGTTAAGAAAAGTTATGGTTGTAAATCAAATTTTTGTGAATGAACAATTATTTTTAATAGAAGTGCTCTCAAAGTTTTGTGAATGAATACTTTAGACATTTTTGTTGAATATATTTTGATAATATGTTACTTTAAGTGAAGTAACACAACCAAAAATGAACTTAACTTGGATTAACTGACTAAGGATATGGACGTCGGACCATTGTAGTCATTTTGCTGCAAGTGTGTAGAGCAAAAATGCTGGAAGATGTTAATAACCTTAAGAATACTAGGTCAATCCACACTGCGAGCATGGCTCTGACAGTTGTTCTCCATTGAGAAGTTGCTACTAGTAGTATATTATTGCCATTTAGAAGAAGCTTTATTTTTTGCCATAAGATCAATATCATTCAACTAAGTCAAGCTTATTTGTAGGCTGCACTCTTTATCATTGTCATATTTTCTTGGCTAGTCGAGCCACGTGATATCTAAAACATCAGAAGAGTCAACAAACAGATTTTACTTCCACTGCAGAAAATCCAAGAAAACTGACCTATATAAGCAACAAAAAGCAAGAAAGTAAAGGGTCTTTCTAATCTATAACTAGTAACTATCTTATTCCTTTTTATAGCCGTATGTTCACAAACTAAATTAGCTCTAAGTTTAATTTTGATTAAGAAAGATTGCAGGAGACGAGATGTCTGAAAGTAGAATGGTTCATCTCATATTAGAAACGAGAAAAGTAATACACAAGAGTTATTTTTTCGGACAATAAAACTGAACTTACCTTCTGATTATGAACAAGTACATGCAGAGGGCAGACACTTCTGATTCAACATAGCAAGGCCTTTTACGTCAAAGTTGAATTACGAGTAGAAATCTTAGGAACAGCAGAGCGATTGAGCCTTGTTCACCAGATCTACGAAGAACTAAAATGAAGCAGTTGCTCTCCTAATACCTGTACATATGGCAGTGGTAAGAAGTGAATTAGAGGACAAAAGTGAAATAGTTTCAATTCTTAATATACAATCAAAAAGCATCTACGTTTAGAATGAGTGTCATCATTTAATTTGTTACTGAATCCTCTGGTGCTTCCCTTAAGGTTTGCTTTCAGCTTCTTGTCAATTCCATAGTGAGCATAAGGGTTCAGAGATAAGTCAGCAGTTATGACTTTCACAGGATCAATGTTATATTTTGAGACATTCTTACCAACAGTGTCTTGCAGCACCTCTGAATAGAATCTCTTGACATTCTTACCAACAGTGTTCACCTGATTTTTGACACATTTAACAGTGTCCTATAATTTATCACAGTCTCAGTTATGTTGATTATAACCCATTTGGTCAAAACTTAGCAGGGTCAATAGCAGATAGTACATTTTCAGTATCCTTTAATATATCCAGCGATGCATATGCCATCAGTTATGTTAGACCACGCATAATCCTCAATGAAATAGACGAAGCATAAAAAAAAAATCTAGGGTTCAATACAGTGGCGGAACCCGAAATAGGAAAAAGGGGAAAGGAGAGAGAGAAAGAGAGATTGACTTACCTACTCGTCGGAGTGAAGGGATTCCCGTAATCGCAAGCTTGTATTGGACTTGGAGAATAAAGTAGTAGTCGAAGTGGTGGTTGTTTATCCTTTTGTCACCGGCGATTAAAGTATCGATGATGCCGAGTATTTGGTTGGTAACAAGTGCTAATGTCATGTCAGATTCATGGGCACGGGTCGCGGATGATTTGCTGCCAACTAGGTCACGATTTGTTAAGAGCTTTTTAGCGATGGATAGCCAACACAATGCTTC